TAATAGGCAAACTAGAAAAAAAAAAGTAACTTAGATCAGGCCACAAACCTAAGAGAAAAAAGGAAGATTAATTTAATTTATAATGCATATATTGGAAAAACTGTATATTTTTGCTCTTGAATATGAAAATGGTCAACCTAGCTCACTCATAATATTGGCACAAGTGCAAAAGTTTGATACCACAGTAATTAAAGAGACTGATATAAAAACAGCGACTCATACGTGATGATGGTAATGTGAGGTAGCTCAATCTCAATGGAAAGAAATTCAGTATAATCTCTAACAAGAAGATATGCATTTTTCCCTTTAACATGGCAATCCTGTGTTTTAGGAATCAATCCCAAAAATATTCTCAGAGATTCAGACAAAGGCATTAAATGTATCATTATTTAATAAGCTAGAAACAAACTGCTCATCAATATGGAAAATTTGTTATAATATGGGATAGTCACACAGTATATATCAATACAACTATAAAAAAAAGAATGAAATGTTTATCAGTATGTAGTCATCTTCAGGATATGTTAAGTAATAAAAAGCAAGGCAGAGAAAAGGTATTTTAAGAAAGGCAGAAAGATTGATACATATACTTGAATCATACAAGGCTGTATGTGTGCATGTATTTGCTTATATTTAAATACAAATGAAGAGTAAATCAAATTTGAAAAGGACTCAATCTAATTAGTGAAGAGGGAACACAGTAAAGAGAAACTAAACTAACATGAAAATATCTTGTTTCATAAATTCAATTTTGAAATGAATAAATCTCCTAAACAGTGATATTGAATTTAAAAAGTGATACATAAAAATCCAAAGCAAAATGAAATAAATAATATTGAGTTGTTAGTAGGATTACCTGGAGGAATTATTTTAAATGACTTCTTAAAAAAATATTAGTCAAATACATGGATTTAGAAAAGGATAAAAAAAAGTTTCAATAATTTATATTGAATTTGGTATTCTAAAATTGTCATACAAGTTAAATGTCAAACAGGACAGATTTAATGTCATTAAGAACTATGAAAAAGATAGCAAAAGATAAAAACAGATAATGAAAGAAGCAATCGATTAATTCTTAGTGTGAATTAGAAATTTTTATAACATTTTAAAATATATTAAGCTTAAATATAAAGAACTTCAGTGCTTCTTCATAATGTTTTATCTCTATATATCCCTCAATAAGACGTGAACTGAAAAAGACCACTGGAGTTACGTTAAGAGAACTAAAAAATTTGAAGAGGATCCTAGTAACCAACGATGAACTAATTTTAGTATTAATAAAATCTACAATGATAAAAACACATCAAGTATATTTAAATTCACAAGCTTATCATGGTATACACATATATAAAGTTCACTGGTTATAGCTGAGTGTAGATCAGAATGAGTTTTGAAAGCTGGCAAACACGGGATATTCAGTGTAATATCTACGCTGCCTTTTGGTACATGCAGTCTATACTTTCGTGAAATCAAGTAATTGAATGAAAAATTTTCTTCCTAAAATAGTATTCTAGAGCATTTGAACTAGAAGGACTCAGGCATACTGGGAGTTCAGTTGGATTTAGAAATAAATTTAATTGATACTGAAGGTTGACAGAGAAGACTTGGGTGAGGCAGAAGACAGTAGGTGAGGGAAAAGGTTTGGAAGATGTGGGATGTTTGGGGGGTACAACCATTCAGAGGGGAGATTTGAAACCCTGTGTGGAGATGTGTGATACCGTAGCCTTGGCTGAATAGTTAAGAAGGGTAGTAGTACTCAGTGTTATCTTAGAAACTAGGTTGTGGGGCCTCTGAGAACCATTTCTAGGTGACTGGTTAGACAAGGAGAGGTGATACATAAGTTGCTTATCTTAACTCTTGTATAGTGTGGATGAACAGGAAAGCTTGCAGTTATTACTTAATTTCACCACTGGGTTGGTTTGTGATTTACTTAGCTTGCAATGGAGACACACAGTCCTGTTGGACAGTGTAAGGAGGAGGTAGCAACTTGGGCTTGGGAAGAGGAGATAGGAGCCTATGAAGAGGAAGAAGCACATACCTGGCTTGATCTTTGCAGTCCTTTTTGAAGTAGCCTGGCTAGCAATGGTTCTAAGGAAACTACAGGGTTCTGAATTGAACAACCAGCAAAAAAGCAAGTTTTCTAGTTCAAATGCACTAGTAGCCCAGAGTAGCCACTCTACCAGCACTAATCCAGTCCATAAACTGTCCAGAGGCATGAACACCAGCAGATAGTCTCTCACTCTGAATTTGCTGCTCTCAAATCCCACTCCTGCTTTCCATCTATAAAAAGGCGTGGTGGTGTACGACTTTAATCCCAGCACTTGGGAGGCAGAGGCAGGCAGATCATCTCTGTGAGTTCAAGTACACAGTGAGTTCCAGGCTAGCAGAGGCTACAGGGAAACCCTGTCTCAAAAAGACCGCCGCCCCCCCCCCCCCCAAAACAAAAAAACAAAACAAAAAAAAAAAACCCCCCCCACAAAAACAAAAAACAAAACCAAAAAAAAAAAAAACCCAACAACTCGTCAGGCCTCTTCAAAATTAACAAAGCCATTACCACCTGGGAACTGCTGGGAAGAACAGCTGAAGGAGAACTGCAATTAATGTACTTGCCAGCAGAGGTAGCAACTTTTACTCAAGTAGACCTAATTGGACTAGCTTATTGGCAGGAACAGGAAGGGGAACACAGGGTGCTACTAAACTGCTGTCTATTCCACATGGGCCATCCTCTGCCTCGGTGTCTTCAGTGGTAGCAGTCAGTGTGCAGCTCAAGAATGAATACATATATATTTATATCAAGAATAATCTGGGTCAGTCAGATATCTCAGCAGACACTTGCAACCAAGCCTGATGACCTGAATTAGATCCCTGGGGATCCTTGTGGTGGAAGGAGAGAATCAACTCCAGAAAGTTGTCCTCTTGCCTCCACACACTCTATGGCATGCATACCACCTTTCTTTCTACCAAGAATAAATATAATTTAAAGAATTTTAAAAATTAAAAATATATTCTAGCTGATAAATGAGAAGGGAATATATTCTAGCTAATAAATGAAAATGGAATGATAAAATATAAGTTACTCTTAATAATGAATCTAGGCAATGATGATGAATGGCTAAAATAATCATAAAAAGAGAACAATAGAATATTATTGCCTCCTGATAGAAAAACACAGTATTTCCTATGAAGTAGTCTTGCCAAAGGAATCAAATCTGAACTTGGCTCTGGAAATACTAAGACACAGGTATATGTGAAAAATAACTCTTTTCTTCTTTTTCTGAGCTAGACTCTTGCTACATAGCTCTGGCAGGCCTGGAACTAATTAGGAGACCAGGACCAACACTTGGCCTTGAATCTACAGCCATCTTCCTGCCTCTTGCCTTCCAAGTGCTACAATTACAGTCACTATACCTGGCTCAAATGATTATTTTCTTCAACAAATAAATTTTGTTAAGATTAAAAAAAAAAAAATCAGAGAGGAAGCTTATAGATGGAAAAAAATTTAGTATATGAATTTTCACTTGATTCCTGATTAAAACAAAATAAACAAAAAATATTTCTCCAGAAAATCTAAACTCTAGGCATTTATGATTATGCTGGCAAGTTTTCTGCAGGGCACCAATGCTCCCCATTTCTTGGTATTTAGGCTTTTGGGTAGTCCCCTCCTGATTACAGGCTACCTAATTTCTGAGCTTAGGTGCCAAAAGAATTAATCTGCCTTGTTAAATGCATTCTAGGTAGTCTTGGTGCCTGCTGAAGCTGTAGTCACTGCAGCAGCCCTATGGAGAAGGCCATACAGCAAGGAACTGAGACCAACCTCTGATCAATAGCCAGTAAGGGATTAAAGTCCTCTGTCCTACAACTCACAAAGAACTGAAGCTGACACCAACCAAGAGCAAGCTTGGTAAGCAAATGCTTTGACAAACTAGCCTCATGATGACTGCAGCTCCTATACCCTGATTACAGCCTTGAGAGAGACCTTAACAGAGGAACCAGCTAAAATCCTTACCCATGCAAACTGGAGACAATAAATGATATCGATTAAGCTACTGAATTTTCAGGTAAATGATTTTACAGCAAAAAGAAACTAATAAAACAATATTAAGGAACTGTTTTCAAATGTTAAAATGGTGCTGTATTGTGTTTATGTTAACGATATGTACTAAGATATTTAAGGATGAAATAATATAGTATCTGAAATTTATTATAAATAATTTAGCACTCAGTAGCAAATGGAAAGGACATATGAGACAAACATGAATGTGAATTGGTAATTGAAACAGTGTGAGAGGTAAATAGGATTGGATTGTGTTTAAGTTTAAATTTTCCATAAAAATTTTTAAAAAGTGTAACATTAATAATTGTTATATAAAATTGAAGAACCTTATAAGCTGAAGTGTATTAGCACTACAAATCAGCAAAAACAAAAAAAAAAGTTCCTAACAAATAACCATTATGGGTATATACTTACTTTAATACCTGCAAGAACAAGATTCTTTGCTATAAAGAAAAAAGAAAAAAATTAATATTAGGAATTCATACAAAATATAGCTTCATGGAGCTTGGTCCAATTCCTGACTCAGTAACTGTAACATTTTTTTAACTTGTTAAAAAAAAAAGTTAGAAAACACAGATTAACAAAAATGGAACAAATAAATTTTGCATGATCATACCAACCACATATCTGCTCCTGTTTTAGTATATTCTTCCAAGCATGTTTTTATGATATATATATATCATGTTACCATAATGAATTAAGATAGATGATTTAAAAGCCATTAACATAACCAAGTAATGAGAGGCATTACTGGTTCTTTGTGGAAGATTATATCAGCGTTATGATGTTTTCTGGTCAAAAGAATCAAAACTGAATCTGACAAATGTTTTGAATCTAATTTCCTTTAAAGGAAATACACGAAGTTACATTTTTCAAATTATCTTATGTAGCTCAAAAGTATCAGAAAATTATGAAAAAAAAATAATGCTTACCAATTTCTAATCCAAGACCACCCATGCCACTTAAGAAAACATGGGACTTGGCCATCTTCTGCATTGCTGTGTCACCGAGAACATACCTCTGTCGACTATATGTAAAACAATGAAAAAGAAAAGTTATCTCATCAAAATAAAATATGCCTTCAAGTTTTTCCAAATTAACAGCCAAGGCTCTAGAGTCTGTACTGAGTTGTTTTAGATGATTTGTACAGCATTTTAAATTTACTAATTGACAAATATATGGTATATTTTGAGCAATTATACGGTTTGGTACCACGACCCACAATCTGAAAAAGCAGATAGGAGTAGGAACTTCCTCTTAGGGAGGGAGAATTATGTAAGGCAGACTTGTCAAGAGTTCCAGTTCCTCCTGTTCCTCATTTAATCACTTCAAAAGACACTAAAGGGATTTGATTTTGCTATCTTTGATTGAAAACTTTTACAAGCAGGTCTTTCTTCTGAGGCAAAATTTAGTCCTTTCAGAGAACTGACAAGGGAATTTTTGAGTACTATTTTGCATTTAAAAGTTGGTAAAGCATAGTCGGGCATGGTGGTGCACACCTGTAGTTCTAGCACTACAGGCAGAGGCAGGAGGATCTCTGTGAGTTCAAGGGCATCCTGGTCTACATAGTGAGTTCTAGGCCAGCTGGGGCTCCAGGGAGATCCTGTCTCAAAAAGACCAAAAAATATTGGTAAAGCATAAGCAGGTCTGTGTTAAGCTATACATGCTAAGGACAAGTAGTATAAGTAGTATCAGTTCAAGGTTTCAAAAAATATATACACTGGCAATTTAAAAAGGCCAGATACACTGACACAGTCAGTACTAAGTTATCTGAGAGAATAAAGGGAAATGTTGATACCAGCCCTTGTAGAGCATATAAATTCCAATGAATTCTTTGATAAGCAACAAATAGCTTCAGTAACCAGTTCTGTATATTTACTTTTGAAGTCATCAGTGTATTTCTTTAAGAGTTCAAGGGATTACACTTCCCAGATATTAGGCTTAAGTCCATATCAAAAGTTATTTAGATAATTATTTCTCACTGATGATTTTGTTCCTAATCAGAAAGTGCTGCTCAGATATAAGACTTCAAATCTTGGTCTGCAATTCTGTAGTGCCCACCTGTAGTTAAGGGAGACAACCTACTATTGTTCTAAAATGATGGATAAATTTGTTTTCTCCCCCTATCTAGAAGCCTTTGAGAGGGAACAGACACTGATTCTAATTATTCCAACAGCTATCAAAATACCTGAAGCAAATCCTGAATCCATCACTCAAGAGTCCAGCCTTGGAAGACAAAAGAAAAATGAGGAGGAACCCAATACATGG